TTATTTAGAAGTAAAAAATTGGATCGATTCGTGGATTGCCTCAAAAGATGACCAGTTTTTTCGACGCGGGATTCGTACGCTACCCGAAAGATGAGAGAAAGTAGTGGCCAGCGATGGACAATACTTTGAATCATAAATGTATAACCAGTTTTTTACAATAAAGCCTCGAATTTCAGAAAAAAAACGGCAGAAGCAAAGTTGTACATCTAATACCAATTAATAACGATCCTCTCATTAGCCTGTTTTTAATGCTATGTTTTTAATATTTTATATACAGCTATGCATTTCGTGAGTTATTTCCATGTTCAGATCCATTATTAGCATGTTAGCAAAACTTAGTGAATATTGCAGTTCACTTCATTGGAGCAAGGAGCAGTCTAATCCGAAATATTCACTGAATATAAGAGTAACATTCAAATAATCATTAAATATTCCATTCATACAATGTTTTCAGAAAATGTTTCATATACCATATTTTACAAAATTATAATTTTCCCTGAAATTCCAGGTCTGGAGATACTGGAATTTTAAGCGAATTTATACTGTCTAAAATATATTTTGTTTCCTTTCATCTTGGAGCTTAATTTTGGGAATTTATTTCGCAGGTGAATTACTGATTTGCTCCTTTCCTATATGATTCTTATTTATGAGTTAATGCATTACTCTTATTAATATAGATTTCTTATCATCGCAAATTCGCAAGAGGTTAAAAATTTAATGCTCTTTATTCGCTAATTTTTTTCTTTAACATCGAATTTTTTATTCTGTTTAGCAGCAAATCGAATTTAAAATGGAGGGGGGGGGGCTCAGGTTACTAATAAGTTGAAGTCCCCATACTAAAAAAAATATACAGTAGTGCTATAATGAAATCAAGTACACTAGACTTTTTGATTTTATTTTTTGACTTTTATTGTTCTCCAAGCGCATAAAGCGATAGCGCAAAAAAGAAATTTAATATTTTTAAGGAAATATCAATACGTGCGATCGCGCCGCGAGAATCTGCACAGTCTGCGTCACGCTTCAAGTTTTTTTCTACCCTTGTCCAGCTGGTCTTCCCACGTTGAAATAAAAAAGCGCATATTCAGAATTAAGAGCTAATTTATGAGCTTTCCGCAAAAAAATTTGGTAATACTCCAGATTAAAGAACCTCCTTCAATGACCTCGACCTTGACATATTGTTCGTTACTCGTCAATAAGTTAAGATGGAAAATTTGAAAAATGATATCTTTTCACTATATAGAACAAAAATTTCGTGTGGAAGTCGTGCGCCCTTAAGCAGGGGAGAAGGTGAGAGTCGCTTCGCGTGGAAATGATTGTACGCTCCTGAAGCAGAGGGAGGGGATGTGAGATGAAAGTCACTTTGCGTAAAAAGTCATTACATAAGCAAGGAAGAGTATAGAATAGTTTTAAAATTATATATGTATAGCAAAAATAAAACGTTATTTTCAAGCCTTTTTTATTAATAACTTTTTAACAAATGACGAGCAACGGTTAAAACTTGTTGGAGGTTATTCAGGATTATGATCTTGATAACATATATCAAAGTCAAGATCATTCCCCTAATCTGGAATATTACCAAAAATTTTTGAGCTCGTTTCGGTTAGCAGGAATCTTAATTTAAAGAAGGGGAGGGCTGAGTGGATATCCATTCAGTCTCCCACCCCTTAAAATTAACAACAGGAAATCGCTCGTAGGTTCAGAATTAGGAGTTCTTCATGAGTTCTTAAATCAGTATTCTTTTTCTTCTAATTTTTGAAATCTACTCTTTATTCCCAAAATAATTCTAAAAGTAATCTGAATTGAAGAGGTAAGTTATTGAATATAGCATTATATTATCTAAAATTTCATTAATGAATATGATTCTGACATAAATCTGATAAGAAAGTATATAATTCTTAATTTTTGAGCTGCAATCCCTTAGCAAAAAATCTTTTGACACAAAAAAGAATTACAGAATGTGAAAATAAATAATTTTATAACGGGAATTTATCTGCTGATTTAGAAGTTCCCGAAATACGAATAAACTTTTTGAACTGCAATCCTTTAGCAGGAAAATCCTTTCCTTTTCACGCAAGAGAGAACTATGTTACAAAATGAGAAAATAAATCATTTTATGGCGACGCCGAGTGGCTCGCCACTAAGTGCGATTGACTTGCGATTTGTGGATTAGAGTTCGATACCGAGTTCGATATCGAACATACGGAAATTCGATTAGCCACCATGCTTATGCGTTTGTCCACATGAATTGTCTTTTGTCCACTTTAAAAAAAAAGTTATAAACAAATTAAAATTAAACAATTTGTCATTGTATACGTAAGTGCGTTTACTTCCTAATTATAATACGTATAAGATTCGATTGTTCACCATGCGTGCGCATATGTCCAGGCAATTGTCTTTATTTGTCAGTGATGAATTATTTAATTTTAATTTGTTTATAACTTTTTTTTGAAAGGTGAACAAAAGAAAATTACGGGTGGCAAAAACACGTACGTATGGTAAACAATCGAATCTCATATGTAATTTGGAAAAAGATTCACAGGGAGATGTTCCAATTTTTTATTTATTTATAATTTTTTTTCGATGATGAACGAAAAATTTTTTTTATGAACAAATGTGGACAAATAATGAACAGTCGAATACGATGTAGATTTTGTCAAAATTTATATTATATATTTAGGAGTATCAGTTTCACAGACCTCAATTTCGCGATATTATCACAGTCGTTTAAGTGTGTGTATAATTACGAAAAACCAATTTGGTGCGCAGTTCGAATGACTATAAATATGATATAGATGCGTATATAGTCATAGAAATGGGAGGGAGGGTGAGGAGAAAATAGGGGGAGGGGGGGGGGGG